ATATATGTACGCACACACACACACACACACACACACACACACACACACACACACACACACACACACACACACACACACACACACACACACACACACACAGAGGATATCCCAAAATACTACCAAATATCGTGTATGGATAGAGCGAACTAAACTGAGTCGAAAAGTCATCTACTATTTGGCAATTTTCGCAATAATTAACTAGATATTAATTATTAAAAATCGTCGAATATTGATTTTTAATCATTTTTTTACTCAAGTACTATCAACTTTATAGAAAAACAGCAAGAGAATAATTTTCTTCTTATAGAGCTCTAAGAATTTTTTACAATTTTTTGTCAACTTTTTAGTACTATTATTGGCAACTATTTTTATCAATATGAGAAAACAAACGCACTAAAAAATTCTGAAAAAAAACTTTATGAGAAGAATAACAATTTTTGTCATTTGCTGTTTTTCTGTTCTGATGGTATTTCTCTTGAATGTCGGTAAATGTCGATAATTGACACTTGTTACCATATGAAAAACCAAAAAATAAAGTTATAAGAACATGATTTTAATATTTAAATTTTAAATTATTTTATTTTTGAAAATGACATAGAATTTAAAAAAATAAAATTAAAACAATAAACAACAAGAGCAAACAGCCACACATAGATATTGTATGATAATGAAAGCCATAATTTAATAGTGAAAAACCATTAAAAATTTGTTCATTAATGTAAATTGATTCATATACGTTTCGGTCACGATTTGGCCATCCTAATATGTAAAGTAAAAATTAATATAAATTATAAATTTCGGTAAAAGCGCATACCTCGTCCGCAAGCTATCGTACCTATATTATTATAAAAGTTTTAGAAAAATTTTTGCTTATCCCTTTACTTCCCTACTTTTCTGATTAGACATTCTGATTTTGCTTTTTTTTACCTACATTATTTCATTTTATTCCTTTTCGCTTTATCCGCTTTTCTCTCTTAGTTATATCTACTTCTAATGTAATATATTCTTGTTCAATACCTACATATATACGTTATTTCTACATCACAGACTTATCACTATGTATTATTATTATCACATATTTATTTCTTACTTACTCCTTAGTTCACCTTACTTCCCTTTTC